CCTAATGTCTCTACACATCTATCTATGTTTCATGCAAGAATACACGTATTGATCACAAAATTTAGACGTTTTGGATCCTGAAAAGCAGAACTACGATTCTAAAAGCTTTATATGGATATTTCAGGTGCAGGAGATACAGAAGTAAACAACTACAGACTGTGCCTGCTACTCTATTAGAATATAGAGTTAAAAATGCTCGTGTTTTAGAGATAGTCGGAGTTAATTTAGCTGGCCCATTAATTCTGAAAAATAAAAGAAAAGCTTGGATAATAGTTTTCTTCTATGCTGTTTGCAGGATGGTTCATTTGGAACTGATTTTGTTCCTTTCACCTCAAGGAGTTTTACTTGTCCTTAGAAGATTTATTGCCCTTAGAGGAGGCCATCAATAATTTATAGTGAGAAGGGAAGCAATTTTGTCATATCCAATAATCTCTTTGAGGTCAGGTGTAGGAAAACCATCCGCCACAAACAAGATCGACTAGAAGTTCATTTCATCCGCAGCGCCATGGGTGTTTTTTTCGGGGTGGGGGGTGGAACGAATTGTTCAAATGATTAAGATCCTTTTGCGTCGAGTACAACGTCAGTCATGTCTGAATTATGAAGAACTGATGAGTGTGCTATGCGATTGCCAAGCAACTGTGAATTCAAGATCACTTATTTATGTGTCAGAGGACTCTGATGATCTCATCCCTTTGATACCGTCCTTGTTTTTTGGTGAAATTCCAGTCTTTGGATTTCCTGACTTAGATTACCTTGATAAAGGGGATTTCAATAAGGGACTGAGACATCTACAGAATTTACGAGAGCTCTTGAGAAAGAGATATAGAAGTGAATATCTCGGCGGCCTGCTAGTTCAAAGACCATCCTACTGTGGCTATTTCTCAACAGATAAAAATCGCGGACATAGCTTTTATCGAGAACGCAAGATGCTGTGGCTCCTAGCAAAAATAACTGAGTTATAGCCAGGAAAAGAAGGCAACATTCAAGTAGTTCGTGTCAAAACTATGTCTGAAGAATTAGTTCAACCAATCCAGAGAATATTCCCTCTCGAAATACCTCCACCTTAGGAGTCAGATGAGGAAAATGAAACTGACAGTCAGGGTGAAGACAATTTAGTTTCAAAATTATCAAAAAATAATTTAGCTCCAGGTTTATCAAAGGAAATTAAGACTTTGTCTTTGATAAATCTGTTTTATTGTCGTTCACTTCTAGACAAAGAACATTGTCGTGACTAGAAGTGGACAACAAATTAAAATACCGTCTAGATTTCTTATCTGAACACTACTTATGTTATTATAGTATAGAAATTTAAGAACTTAATTTTCTTCTTGTTTACTATTTAGCCTTGATATTTGTGTGAAAAGTATTCTTACGGATTTGGTATTTAAATAGCTAATGTTCCCAGGGTAGCTTTGCACCTACTATAGGAGATTTGTTAAGGATTTTTCTTCCATCGCAAGACCCCTTCACAAGCTGACAGAGAGCAAACAAAGGTTCTTGTGGAAAAAAGAATGCGAGGATGCATTTAACAGCTTAAAGGAAGCTTTAGCATCTGCTCGAATCCTAACGTATACTCAGCTCGACAGGCCATTCATTCTCGACAGAGACGCGAGCAATGAAAGTGTCGGTGCTGTTTTGTCCGAAGAAATAGACGGCCAAGAACGTGCAGTGGCTTACCGGAGCATGTGCCTGTCTAAACCGGAGAGGAATTACTGTGTCACTAGAAAAGAGTTGCTCGCCATAGTCAAAACCGTAGAACATTTTCACCATTTTCTATACTGCAGAAAATTCTTGCTCCGCACAGATCATGCATCATTGGCCTGGCTTTTAAATTTAAGAATCCTGAGGGTCAAATAGCCAGGTGGATACAGAGACTCCAGGAATATGACATCACTATCCGTCATCGGAAGGGATCATCACACAGAAACGCCGACCTCCTGTCTAGAAGATCATGCACAGAAAGCTACCGATATTGTTCCAGGGTCGAAGCGAAATACGAGCTGCTGAGTCCGGTCGCAAGACAAATTACGACATCAACATCGGCTGATCGAGACCCGTGAAGTGATGATGAAGTCAGGAAAGACCAGCAGGAAGCTGTGACATTAAACCCATAATTAATTTAATGGAATCATTAAACAGAAAACCTACATGGCAGGACATTTCTATCAATAGTCCTACAACAAAACAATACTGGACACTCTGGAATTCACTTCACATTCGAAACGGCGTGTTATACCGGAAGTTCGAATCGGATGATGGGAAGACTTTCCGATGGCAACTGATACTTCCAAGATCCCGGATTCCTGATGTCCTAAGAACTACATGGCAGCCCTACAGGAGGTCACTTTGGAATAATGAAGGTTTTGCAGAGAGTTCGTAAGCGCTTTTACTGGAATAATGCTAAGGATGACGTGCAAAAGTGGTGCCGATCTTGCGATGCCTGTGCAGGTCGGAAAGGACCGAGGAAACGCAGCCAAGGCAAGCTGCAACGTTACAACGTAGGCGCGCCTTTTGAACGTATCGCCTCTGACATCTTGGGACCTCTGCCACAAACTGCTGATGACAACAAATACATACTCATTGCCATTTATTACTTCACCAAGTGGCCTGAAGCGTATCCGATTCCTGATCAAGAGGCTATCACAGTAGGTGAGGTAATGATACAGCACTGGATTTCCAAGTCGGAGTGCCTCTTCAGTTACATTCCGATCAGGGAGAAATTTTACCTCGGCAGTAATCAAAGAACTATGCAAACTACTCGGCATTGACAAAACACAAACGACGCCATTACATCCCTAGTCGGACGGCATGGTAGAGAGGTTCAATCGAACCATCCTTAATAACCTCTCATTAGTGGTTTCCAGAAACCAGCAGGACAGGGACAAGAAATGACCACTGTTTTTACTGGCTTACCGCAATGCTGTCCACGAGACTACCGGCTATTCCATATCACAGATGCTCTTCGGTCGTGACCTTCGTCTGACATGTGATCTTTTGCTTGATCGCCCTCTGGATGCGCCTTCATCGCCTGAGGAATACATTCAAGTTCTCCAGACCCGGTTTGAAGTGATGCACAATTTTGCACGAGAGCGAGTCAACTTGGCGACGGAGAAGATGAAGACCCGATACGACACAAGAGCTATTGGACATCGATTCAACGAAGGAGACAAGGTATGGTTGTGGAATCGGGGTCGACGGAAAGGACTCTGTTCGAAATTAGAGTCACCTTGGGATGGTCCGTACAGTCCTAACCAGGCTGAACAAGAGCTAACCGGTGCAAGCACGTGCCGTTCAGGCTGAACGGCGTCGTGGTTCGGATCCGTAAGTCATCGAACTCTAAACCGAAAGTCGTTCATTACGACAGGCTAGCTCATTACTATGGCCATAGTACATAGTGTAAATAATTGTAAATAATGTAAGACCATGGTCCTTTTCGTTTCTAAATGTGTATTTGATTTGACTTGTATTTAGTATTTGATTTGTATTTAATATTTGATTTAAGTTAGTTATTGCATTTATTGTTCATGTTGTTTGATATTGAAATGCAATGTTTATTATTGCATTTATGCCTTAGTTGTAAGTTTGGCTTCCTGTCCAGGAATTGTACTGCCTAGGACGTGCAGTCCTTGGGGAAGGGGGCAGTGTTACACGGATTTGGTATTTAAATAGTTAATGTTAGTAGAATTATAAATAAAATTGCTTTATTCCCCGTGCAGTGCAGCGCGTGATGAATATTAAAAGAAAGCTAAGCCGAAAAAATAAAAATACAAGAGCACGTGCATGTAACATTTAATAAATAAATATCTCTTTTTGATTTCGAGAAATTGCTAGAACAATCTCGCTCGTGATTTAAAAAGCTTATAAAAAAGAGGAAAATCTCTCAATTCAGTTGTTGTTGTTTTAAGAGTTTGTTTAGAAAACTGCTCTTGTTTACTGTAGCGAATTCGCGGATTAGCTCTAGCTGTTTTGAATTAAGTTCTGTTGAACGTTTGACTAGTTAAAAGATAACTACTGTGAGATATTGTAATACTGTACGAATATCTGAGGAAATTTAAGCCTTTTGTTTTTATTTGTTGTGATAATAATAAATTTTGTTCATTTTCCATCAGATTTGCGCATTCAATTCATAACGAACCCGTCCGCACGCAACAGTATTTTTTTATATTTCCTTTGATCAATTAAGTGTATTTCAACAATCAAATAGTGGGAGTATTGTTAGAAACAAGCCTCAGCTGTTATCTTTCATTTATAGTTTGACATTGTAAGAGTGGCAACATTCTGGTCTTTGTTCACATAATTTTAACAATTCATGGAGGATTGTTTGATAAGTGAAGCAGAAATAGAATTCATGGTAAGAGTAAGTAATTAGCAAGAATGATATCTGATAAATCACTTTTTGGTTTTGTTCTATAAATGGCAAATAATAATCTATCAGATAATATTCCGTGTAATGTGGTAAGGTTTATACCAGCATTACCAAGATGATGACTAAATATTGCAACAGATTGCCACAATAAATCATCATTGCTGTGATTTGCCACTATTATTTATTTCACTTAGGTAGAAGATATTCTTCGCTAGGAATATGAAATCTGCTTTAGAGTGACTGCGGCGAAAAAGTTAATAATATAGATAATAAGGTAGATAATTTTAGGAATATCGAAGTCAGGAAACGTGAAAATCAATGCCGTTCTCGCCGGAATTCGAAATGCATTTCTTCCGGCTACTAGCTAGACGTGCTAATCATTTACCTCAGAGAGAGAGCATACAAAGAAGAATGCGATAATGTCACGCAAAGTTGTCTACTTCGAACTGAAAGAATTTTTCTAATTTTTGATATCCTACTAAATCAAGATATAACTATTTCCCAAACCATTAGCATAAGAATTGAATTTTAAAATAAATCATACAATGTTACAAGATTTATTGTATTATAATTTAAATGCATTTTTTTTTTTTGGATGAATAATAGCACTTTAAAAGTTTCTTTTACATTTCAGAGTTTTCTTCACTGCAATTTGGCTGCTGTTTACTCTGAACAGGGTATCAGCAAGATCTAGTTGTCCCGATCGCAAGTATATCTACCCTTGCACATGTGTAAATGTGGGTCAAGGAAAGAGGAATTGGACGATAGTTATCTGTGCTCGTTTGAGAGATACGGACTCGTTAAACGACATCCTGGATAGTTTAAAAGGTTTAAATATGGACAAGTTTTTGCTGTATGATTCATTCTGGGATGCTCATGAACGTGGAGACGAGGAAAAACAGAAGTTACCCAACAACTGGCTAACTAACTTACGAGCAAAGGAAATGGAAATTGTAGATACCAAACTCTCTTCATGCTTTGCATGTGAGTCTACCTTTAGCTGTAGAAATAGTGTCACAACTAGGTTTGTATAGCAACATATTTTTTTCTTCAGCTTCCAGTGATAATTTCGAGAGTCATCAGACATATCCTATCTTTTTCAGGATAAAAATATATTTGTAAAATGAAAGAGAATAACCTATTTATAGCGATATCAATGGGCGAAGCAGAGAGAAAACGAATATAGCGCTATTTGTCGAAGGAAACAATAATGAAAATTTAAAATGTTAGAATTTTGAAAGTGCTAGGAAGGAATAGATTAATGTCATTAATTACAATAGAATAGTACAGTACACTAGTAATAACAGAACCTCAATCATCCAGTCTAGTTACTCGAATCTCTTGTTCTTCGTTGTAGTTCCAATAGATTTTAGCCTTCTGCTAATTTATGCACGTGTTATTAATGCTTTCCTTAATTTTAATTTCAAATAAAAAAATTTAAATGGAAAAATTTAATAATTTGTAATCCGTTCTTAATTTTATTAGTTTTTCCAGTCTATAGAAAATAATATCTTGGTATAATTTTAGTGGAATAAAAATTGTTTTTGCGCTTTGTTTCATACATGCAAACGTGAAAAATTTCGATATTTTTATATTAACTGAATGCTGATATCTTCTTATGCAATAACTTGCCAATATTTATCTAATTTATTGTCTTATTTATGTAATTTTAATTGCATATTCACATTTCTTCTGTTTCCTTCTCCTTATTTGTTAACTTTTAAACCTTTTCTCTACATTTCTCCATTTTCTTAATTTTCTCAGTAATGAGAATGATGGTATTAACTCTATTTCTTAATTGCATTATCAATCAATACATCTAATATTTATAATAAGCAAAAGATCTCCATTACGATTGCATAACATATTAAACTTTTGCATTTTCTATTCTGTTCTGATTTGACTGATTGGTAGGTTGATTTATATTATGATTATATTGAATTTTACTTAATTTGAAAATAGTCTAACCTTCTATGCTGAAAGAAAAATTTGCGTCTCTGCATTTAATGTATGAACTAAAAATTAATGTAACATCGATAAAAGCAATTCAAATGAATTGTGCCTTGAACTTGAAGTACCTATGTTTTTCGCAAAAATAACAGACGAAATGAAATTTAAATTATTTTCATTATAGAGTCGCGTTCCTTTTGGGAGCATAAAATATAGATCGTACTGAAGACTAGATAGAAAATTCTTGCTATGTTTTGTAAAAACGGATGACTGCCGACGAAGGTTATAACAACTTCGAAACTTAACAGAATATGTACACACTTGGTGTTCACAACTAACCACCATTTGTGGCTAAGTAACTTAAACCTTTGGCCGTCCTCTCCTGTCCGCGAAAATTCCCCCCCCCCAGCGGCCGTCTGTTTTTCGTAGCGTGTGATGTTGTTTTCTCTGTATATCATAACTTTCCATACATGACTTTCGCAGTGGATGAATGTCAATGAATATTAAATAAAATTATAAGGAAATAAAGCATAATGGAAAAATAATAATATCTCTGCTTATTTCTAACAGCAGGATAATTTGATAACATCTGATTTAGGCGGTCCACTCCTCTCATTTTGTTGTTGTAATCTTCTACAATTATTGTTTTTTTTTACAATTATTTTCCGTGTTTCAACATCAATCATCGAGTTATTATGGACTGCAGTCATCAAACGTATATCCTTCTAGTCTTTCCAATTCACAACTTCATTTTTTTCTCATTTTCTGCTGAGTAGACGTTGAAGCCATCTCTCACTGTCTTGTATCTTATGTAAGATGGCGCGAATATTCATAAAACCCGGGCTAAATTTAATAAGAAATAGAATGCCTGGTTAGTGCTGCCCTCTAGGAGGTATTAGAACAAAACAAAAAACAAACAAAACAAAAAACAAAAAATCAAAGAAGTAAACATATTGAAAGCGTTTTAAACGTTTAAAAGTTTTAAAAAATGTAAAAGAACGCTTTAGGCGCGTTACGGTCGCCCTGCAGAAGTTTCACTTCAACGCGCTAGACGCGTTGGGGACGACGAACAGGTTAAAATGGTATATACAATCAGAATGTATTAAATTTTAACTTCATGACTGGCTCCTACTTCAATCTAATTTAGCTTTATCGGCTGCACACAGAAAAGCCGAGTTTAAATTATCACTATAATCTACTCCTATATAATACACTACTCTATAATAAGTGGCTAGTAGAAATATTCGGCTACATTTTCGGTACTTGCAAACAGGCGACATAAGCTCGTTCTTGGCGTAACTCGCTCTACTCGTAACTAACTCTTCTACTGCGAACTCTTCAATTCTACCACATAAATACTGTTTCCAAACTCCTTGAGAATTTGCATATACGTCATTTAAATTTGCGTTCTGGAAGGAAATCGAAATCAGAAGGGTCTTTGGTTAATTACAAGTTAATTATATCCTAGCACCTTGCTCGGTAAGATTTCACGAAATGATTACTTAATGTTCAACATCAAAGGCAAAGTCACCAACTCGGAGAAATACCGCTCATGTCAGCTACAGGCAGAAATATGCTTCACAATCGGCTCTCAACTTAGATATTCATTTTTATTTAAATTCCTCTCATTTACATATTCCAGTAGAGTAGAAGAAAGAGTAGTACTATATAATAGATTTTACCATAAGCAGAAGCATGCATGTTAATTAAAATAAATCTTAACAGATTACTTATGATAATATATAGGATGGTTATCTGCCTTAGGAGAGATACTTACGTTATGGACTATTTGGAAATTGGATCGTATTCATGTTATATACCGGTGACAGGCGATGGAGGGCGGGGACACTTGATGGCTAAGTAGGTAAGCAGGTATACGTCCTGGTCTGGATAGAAGCAATAACTCCTTGCAGCTCTGTAGAAGCAACTTGCGGTAGTTTAAACGAATACAAATACAGTGAGCTTCTTCAAGTTCGTGGCTTGGCGTTCATCGTAATTCGCATGATCACATTATGCTACACTAAGTGTTTAGATTGCGCACAGAATGCACTGCAGATCTGCTGCATTGTAGAATATATGCTGTTTTGTTGACTAAATTGAGGGTAACTCAGTAAGTGAAAGACTTATATGGCCGGGTAGACGTCCTGTCCCAGGGCTGCAACCATGATGATAGTCTTATGCTGCATACAAGGTGACAGGTGAGAACAGGTCCAGACACCAGGGCGGCTTGCATAGGCATCGTCCGGATCCCGCAAGTATCTAAAGCTACCCTCCGAAATCAAGACATTATATGGTCATACAAGGGAAAAGTATCAGATTATTCTTCATGCGATATATAAAGTAAGAATATACAAAATACAGGTAACAGATCTGAAGATACAATACATTTCACACTAGTCTTGATGGAATAACATTATTGAAATTTTGCTGTACTCTGAGAACAATCCAAAAGTAACTTTGGAATTAAGCATTCTCCTGGCTACATCACATGTTAACACATTATGCTGTATACAGGTGACAGGTGAGAGCGGATCCGGACACCCGGGCGACTTACTAGGACTATTCGGGGATCGTCCGGAATCCGCAACTCTACAACGCGATAATTCTTTGGCGCCCCTGACGCCCGGCGTCAGGAGCTTAATAGAAACTTTTGTTGGTGCTGTATATTGAAATTTGGGCATTTTTAACTGATATTTAAACATTTTACAATAATTGTAATTTACAATACAATAATTGTATAATGATGCACACACTGCATAAATATTATACATTAATAATTAAACATTAACGTGGTGCATTTTATGTGCACCTAGGGAATAAATTGTTACAATAATATTTGTTTTGCACATGCGTACGTTATTGCACGTACATAAACATTCCACACCATTATGCTGTATACAGTGTAAAATACGAAAATACGAAAGAGCCGTTGGGAATTGAATTCGGAACTAACTGCTTCTGTGATCTGATCCGTTAAATCATTGGCGGGCCTTTTGATTTGATTAGATTCAGAGCAAGTAAAACATTTTCTAATCTTTTATCAACTTAACATTTTCTTTTTAAGACAGGTTCTATCTTAATGTGTACCTTTCCACAGAGAAAATGCAGAAAAAATAAAAAAATGATTCAAACTCGTTATACACATAGTAAAATGTATTCCGAATACATGATTTTAATTGAAAAGTACTTGTACGCACCCAGTGATTGAATTAAGGGAATTATTCGTAAGAAGTAAGGCTACCATTTTCGGCAACACACTCGTTAAACAGGGCGTGGCATGAGAGCTCTGTCATGGAGTTTTCCATATTATGTAATACGAAGACAAACACATGATATTTTAGAATGCAGCAACAACAGAAACAGTTTTTCTCAGACAACATGATTTTTATAAATTTGAACATTTTCTTGAACTACTAAAGAATGGTTAAGGCTCTAAATTTCTTTTTAGGCATCGTTTTGAAGTTAATAAATTAGCAATAAAACCTTGATTTAAATCATAGAGATTTTCTAACTGTGATTTATTATGGTTTTCTCCAAGATTTGATGTAACAATAGCACTAAACAATGACTTCGACTTCTGTGACGACGGCCAAAGCAACAATTTACAACTGGTTTGACGAATTCCCTCTAGGATATATGAGTTAGAGTACTGAATTTTGCGAAAGTAAAACATGAGTGAAAAGCACATTAGGTATCACGCAATTTAATTCATGCTTGAAAGGATGCTTATGTCAAAAAACGTAAGAAAAATCTCAAAGGACTCGAAATCTATCTTTGTAACAGGTGATGAAACGTTGATTTATTCCTGTGAAACATCAACAAAACACATTCTATTATTTGGCATTTCAAAAAGTAAACGAAACATGTATTTAGCTCTATGGACCCGAAACAAAACGGCAGTCTGCAATTTGGGGGTTTGAAAATGAACTAAATTCTGCAAAATTTGTTCGTATAACGAAATGATTTAAAGAAAATGACAGCTACATAGTTTGGCAAATCCAGCTATATTAGAGCTGTTGTTTTGGAGGATAGTAGATCAGCAAATGATGATTAGTACAGAATAATACGACAGAA